CTGCTGGAGCACTGGCCTGATATTGTCCATTCTGTGTAACTGTTGGCATCCTACTTGGCATGCTTTTGTCTTCTGCAATTATCACTTTTAAAGACAGTGCCAGGGCAGGTTTTGTGGAACAGTATTGGTCAGGGACTATTCCCAAATGACAAAATAGAAAAAAAACAACACACTATTTCAAGCGAAAAATAGGAGAGTGCCCATAAGGATGAGTACTGTGTTAGAGCACCACTGTTAATATTTGTCTTCAGGGCCAAGGAACAGGCTTTGCTGGGTCTATTTATTAGTATAACTGTAGAGCTTGAGATCAATTTACTAAGGTTAGGTTGTTGTACCTGACTTATTCTTTTTGGCTGATGTATGGAATGAAATAGCCTTACCAGGTCAACCTGGGAGACTGGTTTTACTGTCCAGCTGTTTGTGTGCTCCATTTGGACATGGGAAATAACCTCTTCTGATCTGGGCCTGTCTTCACTTGGGATCTCTGCTTTCAAATATGTCATAACTGTGGCACTGTAGAGCATTTCAGGAAATTTTCCAGAGAGCCTGAGATTAGCTCTCTCTTGTAACGCGGATTTAATCCTGGACCCCACAAGCCTTTCTACTAAAACATTTGTAACAAAATATTTGGTTTTAATGGATCATTTTTTTTTTTTTGAATAAAAATAACAGAAAACAGAAAATTCTTGTCCAGCTGCTAAAATGTATTCAGCAAATAAAAGGTACAGAAACTACATTGGCGTCTTTCCTGCTTGCTGTTCATTTGCATTAAGTGCTGCAAAATTATCCAGAAAAAGCGAAGACCAGTTTTTTTACTTATTGTTATTTGGCTAAACTGCCAGTTTTGTCTCATGACTAGGTAGAGCTCTAGATAGGGATAAGGCAAAAACAGTAATGCCAAACAGTAATATAAGTGAGAGATGGGGAGTATGTTTTACAGCTCTAGTGTGGGTGACACTTGGTATTTACAGTTCATCTGAGGATATTTTGGTGTGGTATTGTTCTAAGGGATGCATCAAGCAGTAAAAACTCCTAGTTAATATTTTAGAGCACTTGGAAGTATTAACTTCCAAATAGAAAAATGTGTTGCATGCTCCTAAATGCCCAGTTACCACACCATGGAAAATAACAAATAATGCATTGCTGAATGAGGTGGCTGTTCATGGATTGCTTTTACAACTTCATAATCTACAGCCAGTGGCATTACTTAATGCTGTTTTAACCGTAGTTTGCAATGGATTGGATCTACTGAGTAGGATCTTTTGTTTGTTTACGTAATTATACATAACTGATGAACCAGAACTTTTGTATCAAAGATCTAAGTCATGAAAAATGACTATATTCGTAACTGTGAAAATTAAAAGTTGTTAAAAAAAAAAACAAACAAACACAAACCAAACCAAAAAACACACAAAAAATAAAAACCCACAACAAAATATCCCATAATACCTGTAATAAATTCATAAACAACAGACAACGATAGCCTTTAGCTTCTAAAATATTTGTCTAGATGCTCTGAACTGAAGTTGTTTTTTATTAATTGCCTGGAGTAAGAGTGGGCAGCTGCAGTGTGTATGTGCTGTGTGAGCCAGGATGCCAAATAGGGGAGTGAGCCATCAAAGACCTGGAGCTACCAACATTGCCCATCAGCTGGAAGGGACATTCCTCCCTCTTCTCAAGGATTGCTACTACGTACCCCATACATCCTGTTGTTTCACATCCTAAGTCTCCAGGTTTTGGCTGCACAGTCTGACTTGTACTTCCTCAGCCTGCCCTGGTGCTTCTGGGCTACAGTTTGAAGAGTACAACCCATGCAGTCTCCTGCAGACCACATGCCCTTCACCGGGGAGGGTTGGGGCATCTCTGTGCTCAAAGTGATCTACTCACGAACTGTGGTGTTGGGATCTGCACGCAGCAGTTATGACAGATCAGTGCAGGGCAGCCAAGAAAGCATCACTGTTTTCTTTATCAGCTTTCTCTGGGGTATTTGAGACAAATTTCTTCCTCTTATGAAAATAGGCTCAACCTTAGTTGGTACATAAGGGATTGCTGTCTGGCAGGTTTCCACACAGACTGGCTGGTCTTACTGTGTTCCTGGCTGGTGCCTTTGAAATGATTGTGCATGCACAGAGCGATGTGCAGAGTTGTAACAACCTTTTTCAGGTTAGCATTTTCTTCTTTGTATGTCAGACATAGTAACCCTAAGCACGTATCATCCCCCTGCTAAATTAAATCCATTTGACCTGAAGTGTGTGTGGTTTTGGGGGGGTTAACATTAAATAGGCTGGTATTGATCAAACAACCACAGAGATTGTGGGCAGTAGTGAAGGGAGAAGCAGGTTCTCCTGCTGTATGGTGTTTATCACTGCGGTTTATTTTTTTTACTCAAAGAGCTGTTTGCCTTTCCCAATGTGGAAGGACACCTTGGAGCTATTGGGAGAAGCAGAAGCGACATTAGTATGGTGAAGTTTTTGGCTGATGCTCCCCCTAAGATAAGTGGGCTGGGCTGGTGTAGGCAAAGAACCAGTAATTCAGCTGATGGGGTTCCCCTAAATCTCTTCCGTAATGAGGTTCTTAGGAAAAGCCTGCAGTATGATGCGGTTATTGTTTCCTTGGGAAGTAAGTCCTTTAGGAAACTAGGCTGCATTCTATGCTGTGAAGTCTGCTAAACGGAGCCAGATCTATTTAAGACCCAGCAGTTAAACAAATACAGAAAAGTGGAATATCAAGCACAATATTTTGCAAAATAAATAATTAAATAAAATAGTGAAGGGAAAATGATTAACATTCAGTTCCCTGTGTTTCTGTGTCATGATGTTAGTCAAGCTGAAGGGAATATTGTTTTGGCTGTCATTGCATTTGCTTTTCTAATTGTGTTTTCCTGCTGCTTCTACAGATTATTAGTAACCATAAATTATAATTCTCCTAATGGCTATTATTTTCTTTTTAATGTTGATGCACATATTATCTAACTATCATCAAGCCTTCATAAGGTAGAGGTATTTGTTACAGTTTACCAAATGGAAGAACAAAGGAGATTGCCTGTGGATCTCAAAACAATGAGTTGATCACAGAATTTTTGCACAGCTTTGTATATGAAGTTTTCCTTGCTGTTGCAGTAGCATAGGAGGTCAACATCATCACTCAGCAATTCTTTCTCAATTCCTGAAATTTTACAGCAATGTCTGTTTCATTGGGAAATTTGTGTTTCCTTCTCAGGGATCTCATCATCTTGTCTGTGTAAGGGACAACACAAATATCCATTTAACACCTTTTGTACAGAATGTATCTCTGCTTTGTTACCTTCCTGCCTGCACTTCTGCATGCTGGGATCACTTAGCTATTGACTTAGAAGAGAGTAGGAGTTAGCTGTTGGCTGTACCAGGAGATAACGTTTCAGCATATTCATGCCTTTTTTGTTTCCAAATTATATCTCCAGCTGGGTGGAGACATTTAAAATTGCCTGGAGGAGTCCAGTTCCATAATGTTCCCCTTCTTTGTTAGGTTGAGATTGACCTTTTTGTTATCCTTGAAGCTTGAGTCATGAAGGAGGTTATTAAGTTGACTGATGCTCTGCCACTATTGCCCATTTTTTTTCCATCCAGACTTTCAATTAGCTTATACTTCTTGTCAGTACAAATTTTTTGGGGTGCCATGAGGTAAATGTTTGTAGATTATAAAATTTACTGCTGACTTTAGTTAACTGCTATGTTAATATTGGGGGTGAAGTTAAAATTACCCTTTGCCAGTTTTGTGCTGTTGCTAGGCATATTTCACTGGGAAACATCCTGAAGGAAGGAGAGATGTGCAGTGAGCCCAACCTCCTCCTAGGGATGATGATTATACAAGATGGTTTTGATTTGGTCTCCTCATATCCTCTTTTGAAAACTAAAATTATCTCATCTGTTCTTTAATATGGATGGCCAGTTAAAAGAAACAATGCTGTAATCCACATGCACACACATATTAAGAAATCATTGCCATGCCTGTCTGCAGAAGTAGTGGCAAAAATATGCAAAAATTAATTGCCCATTCTCCTTCTTTTTCTGAATCTTACTACATATGTTTATTTTTGTTATTCTTTAGCTATTGGTTGCATATACGCATTAGAGAATCTTCGTTGCTGTTTTTCTTTTTTCCTCTTGTTTTAAAAGTATGTTAGGGGAGGACTGTAAAATGAGAAAGTTAGTATTTAGAAATGATTTGTCAAACTTGTTCCCACAAGAGGTCCAATGTATAAGAAATAGGCCTGACTACATAGAGAGTTTGCTTATATAGTGCTCTTTAAATAGATCTGCAGCAGTCTCAGCAGCAAAGCAAGTGTTCACAATCTGCAAATCTGGCATATGAGACACTTTGGGGAAACGCAATGCTGTTTTTTTTAACTCTGTGCATACATTTACTTACACACATATACATGCATACACAACACAAATACATACATATTTAACAATGTCTGTGCATATATTCATTTTTAAAAGTTAGCACTTCTTAACACTGAATTTCTTTTGAGAAATTTCATTATGAAGAATGAAGAGATGTTAACGATGTATCCAAAAGCAAACAAAGCAGTGTCCTGTCTCAGTTCTTGCTTACTTCTCTGGTTGGTAATGGCTAATAATGTCCTATCACAGAACTTGGTGTTGTTTTTTGTGTATTCATGTCTTCAGGGTATCCTTACCGTGCTTTCAGGATATAATGCAGTTATTCAGAATAGGATAATTATATTTCCAATCAGGTCATGCTATGTAAAGTAGCATTGCTAGAAGAAAAAATATTTAGCTTGGCATCTTTCTACTTACATGAAAGATAGAACCTGCTCTTATGTATTATTGAGGAGGATTCAGTGCAAACCCGTAAAATGTCTCCTTTCATCTTTCTATCTCTTCTCTGTCTTTCTCCCTCTTTTAAATAGTTTCTGCATGATACTGAGAAGTTATGTGATGTAAAATGTTAATGTGCTGCTAAGAATGGTTCACAATGATGCATTTATGGTACAGGTACCTGGAACTGGAAAGCAGTGGTCATCGAAATGAAATCAGGTTGCATTATCGCTCAGGCAGTCATCGCTCCCACACAGAAGTATTCCCGTACATCCTGGCAGATGATAAGTGGCACAGGCTTTCCTTAGCAATCAGTGCTTCTCACTTGATTTTACATGTGGACTGCAATAAGTAAGTAACGAGTGTTGTTTTGTAAGTTGTCACTTCTGGAATATTCTAACTTTCAGTAAATGAAATGATAACTTGGGACATTTTCTTTTTTTTTTTTTTTTCAGAATTTATGAAAGAGTTGTGGAGAAGCCCTTCATGGACTTACCTTTGGGTACAACATTTTGGCTAGGACAGAGGAATAATGCACATGGTTATTTTAAGGTATGCATTCCCTGAAAGGAAAAAAAAAAAAAAGAGAGAACTTAGATAAAAATGGATTCAGTTCTGCTTCCTTGAAGCAGATAAAATAGTGTAAATACTCTGTGATATGAATAGTATTTCAGGTGAGACTTGTGATATGGTTCAGTTGAGATTAATTGATTTACTAGCACACAGGCATGCAGGTGGGATATGACAGTATGTTTGCTATGCTACTTCTCTAGGCGGGCTTGAGTGGTACACAAAAAGGTATACCTTGCAGACCAGAGATGAGAAGGAGTTTTACTTGTGGCTGGTCATCTGCTGGAAAGACTCAGCAGAAGTAAAGCTTCATTGATCAAATTGTCATCAGGTTTGTCAGTTTGTTTTAGTAGGTTAAAAACAAGTTTCTGTACAGTATGAATTGATACTGTGCCCAGTTCTGGGCTCCCCAGTACAAGAAAGACATGGAGCTACTGGAGAGAGTCCAGCAAATGGCCAGAAAGATGATGAAGAGACTGGAGCATCTCTCCTGTGAAGAAACGGTGAGAGAGCTGGGACTGTTCAGCCTGGAGAAGAGGAGGCTTAGGGAGGGACCTCATCAAAGTGTACAAACATCTGATGGTTGGAGGGAGGAGATGAAGGATCCAGACACTTCTCAGTAGTGCCCAATGACAGGCCAAGAAGCAATGGACAAAAACTGAAAAATCTGAAATTCCATCTGAACATAAGGAAACACTTGTAACAAGAAGGTAGTCAGAGTGAGTCCACGATGGAGGTATTCAAAAGCTGCTTGCACATGTTCCTGGGCAGCCTGCTATAGGTGGCCCTGCGTGAGCCATGGTGTTGGTTATCTCAAGAAGTTCCTCCTGACCTCAGCTATTCTGTGGTGCTGCAGTTTTAACACAGTTTTTAGTGCCATGGTGTGTTGTAAAACAGTTTAAGACAGGAAAAGGTAAATGGCCAAGAGAAACGGAATTCCAGGAAATTCATGTTATTGTCTGTTTCATAACTGTGTATTTTTTGTCAGAGAACACTAAGGTCTAGGGAACTCCAATCTCTTTGTGATTTAGGTTTCACCACAGTATCCTCCAGGTTCAGAAATAAGTGAGATGACAACCATTAATGAAGAGAATGCCTTTTCCCTCAGAGGAAAAATACTTGATCATGTTTTTTTGCTTACTCTTTCTCCATTTTTCTATATACATATATATACACATATTAATATATACACATTTATCAACCACCTGGTGTATAGCAAGATTGAAGAAGTGAATGCTGTGTTTCCACTCGAGTGTAAATTTTGATTCCTCTGTGTCCATTAGGTAGCATTCATTGGTCACAGACACTTTCTGTCATTTGGCTTTAGTCCTCTTGGAAACTGCTTTAGCAAATGATGGCATCCCTGTAGAATACTTCAGTCCCATTTCCCTCCCTGTGGGAATCTTTTTACTTGAGCTGCAAAGTGGAATTGATAATGTTGGTCACAGACCTAATCACTTTGTTAAATATGGCCTGCTAAATCTTTTTTTTTTTTTTTTCCCATCATGAAACACTCTGACTTGACTACTGTTGTCACAGCAAGTTCTGTAGTTTTGTGCTAAAATAAGTTTTTGGGTGTTGTAATACCATTTGCTGTACTTAAATGCTAAACTATGTCTTTGTTTAGTGTAAGATATGGAGATCGGGTGGGGCACTCATGTTTGAAAACTGAAGCATAACTATGTTTTTATTTTTCTATTCAATATGTGTTTCTTTTTCTTCTAAAACAAAAGAGGATACCTGCTAAACAAGCAGCAAGATTATATTTCTGGTTTTAAAAAAAATCAGCAACAGTTGAATCCAAGAATAAAATCATAAAATATTAACAAGTTGCCTAAACTGATCTCAGACACACTTCATTTATTCTATGTATTTATTATTTATATATATAATATTCCTTTTGTTTATTTGTACCTTCTCACTTCTTGACTTGATTATATTCTTTTTTCCAACTCATTGTGACCATGAAGAAGCTCATTTGGTGTTGAAAAATAAATACTCCAGTAGTGGACTGTATTTTTTGTTTGTTCATTTGTTAATTTTCAAGAAGGATAAAATGGACCAAGATATATGGAAAAATTTGTCTCAGTTACAAAGACAAACCAGTTTGGCAGAAATACAGAAACTGATAGCTGTTAAAAGAACATTGATTTAGCCAAAAATATACTGTGTGAAGTAATTTCTCCATCACAATAGAGTACAAATGATTGAACTACATCTGCAAATGTGACATTGTTGTACAGAAGACACATCACTCTAGAGGATGAGTACTTTCAGTGATTCTTAGTGTTTTAGAGAGCCTGTGTTTTTAGATACTGTGTGTGACAACTTCCACTCATCTGATTTTCTGACATCCATTTGTTTAGTTGTTTCTGAAAATCAGGCTGCTTTGAGTGGGTCTTAAATGAGTTGTCCAGAAGGATCAAACCACCCAAAATCATTAGCCACTCATTGAAATGATTTTCTTTGTCTATCTCTGATTTTGGACCTAATATTGCTCCACTGAAACAATGTGTCTGTAGGCATACTCACACTGGGGTATATTTGTACCCATTTCATTTTAAGGTCTTAAGTCTGAGAGTGCAATTCTGGCCATCTAATTTCTGGTGTTGTGTAAAGTCTCCAACACCTAATATCCAGAAGTACTTTAATTTGAACCAATAGCTTCTTTTGGAGCCTGTGAATAGCCTTTCATGTACAGTCAGGAACTCCTGATTTGGCAGCCCAGGCAGGTGAGGTGTCACAGCTCCTGGTTGTTATGCAGGGGAGATGAGAAATAACCCGAATTCCTGTCAAGTGACAGAGTCCAGCTCACAGCACAGCTGATGTGTGGTGAATATATCTCCCCAAATAGTTGCAGGGGCTTTACTGTTGATTAATAGCTAAGTGATTTGAATACTTGCCCATGTGTTCAATGAAAGATCTGCTTTAAGTTCTTTACAACCTGAAAGGATTGGACCCTGCGATTCTTCCTTTTCATGAAAATGCTGTAACTTGTGTTGACACAAATTTGAATTTGGTGATGCTGAGGAAGGAAGGGAGGAGAATCGAATATTGTGAGCTTTTCAATGTTCTCTTCAAAGAGGTCTTTGATCCTGATTCCAGAACACTTGCTGAGGGAGGTCCTGACGTGGAGTCCTGTCTCAGGCATACCCACCTATTTTTCAACTATTAACTAATCACTGCAGCTCTTTGCACAGGATGGGGGAGCATCCAGTTGTCATAGATAGTAGCGTTATTGTTAAGGGAGAAGGGTAGCTATGACACTTCTCAGTTACTCTTCAGGGACACCTGCTCTTCTCCATAGGTCACTTAGGTGTCTAAACCACCCTGATTCATTCACTTGAGGTCAAAATTCTCTTGCTTGGACTTTGTGACATCTGTAGTGGATGCCCTGTGTACACACATGAAATGTGGTTTTTTGCATTTAGTTTGCATTGTACTCTTTGTGTCTTGAAACATTCACTTCATAAACATGCTGAAGCATGTTGAAATTATTCTGCTTTTACTTCTAAGAAGGAATTTTGGACATGCAGGGAGGGAATCATAGATGAAAGGGACATCTGGAGTGTATATGATAGGATGGCTATTTGGCCTTTGCTTTTGGAAAGCAGCAAAGTGGCTGCTAATTATATCTTAATGACTAAGGATGCATGTAAATTCTGCCTGTAAGCATGTGATTTCTTCTGGGTGAAATGGGGCCTTTCCAGATGGCATATTTGAATTTCATGCTAAGCTTCCCGTTCTCCCAAATTCTTGCCAACACGTTACTCTGCAGCTGTATAACAGATATGTAGGTTCTTGACACTCTGTGTGTTCATGAAAAGATCCACATCAAAATCATAAAAGATTTGCATGAATGTGTTTTTCCTGACTCAAGTTTTCTTTAATCTGCAATTCTTTTTGACAGTCATAGCTTAGTGAAAAATTTGAGTTTTATTTAAGAGAGTTTCAAAATAACTGAAAGTGCAACTTTTTTTCAAATTACGTTTAAAGGTCATTTTCAAGCTTTTTTGCAATGGCTAACTAAAAATAACAATGAATTCAAAACAACCAAACTCTTGCCACATAATTATATCTTGACAGTTAATATTATGTCTTTAAAAATGATTCACTATGCCTGTACATGTACATCTATCTATTTTGCTTTCTCTTTATTCTTCTATCGCTGCATTGGGTCCAGAAAAGAAGCTGTGTATTCATAAATATTGTTTTTATCAGGCACTTTTTCTGTGTGGGCTTTAATGTTTTACATGGTAAATGGAAAACATAATTTGACAGGTAAAAATAATACATCCTTTCGTTTTTTCTCTCCACTTACACATAGGGCATAATGCAAGATGTGCAATTACTTGTCATGCCTCAAGGATTTATTTCTCAATGCCCAGATCTTAATCGCAGTAAGTCTCTTAATTCTTATACCATAATATAAAAGGTATGCTTTGTACCTATTTTCTGTCCTACAAGCTTTCTTAAATCCTTGAGTTTCAGTATATCGGTTGTCAACTTTGATGTGATTAAACCAACTGTAAATAAATGGTCTTGTTACTAGTATACATATCTTGTTATTCTAGCATGCCCAACTTGTAATGATTTCCATGGACTTGTGCAGAAAATTATGGAACTGCAAGACATTTTAGCCAAAACATCAGCAAAGGTAATATTTACTAAAAGGCATGGCATGGGAGAACTGAGGACTAAAAAATTGCTGTTTTTTTAGATTGTGTATCTGTGTGGATGTGTATGTGGGTGTGTGCAGAACACCCATGCATGTTGTGTTTATATATGTTTGCATTTATATATCTGTGCCTACTATCTATGCATACAAATTCACAGTTCAGAGAGCTTTCTTGTTTTTTAATATTTTTATAGAATAATATATTGTAATAGTAAACAGAATCCAAATCCCTGAACAGGGAAAGAAATCATACATATTCAGGCTCTATCTATCAGGCTAACAAGTCCATAAAACTGGTCTGAAATAGGTTACCGTGCTTATATGGGTTATTGCAGCAAGATTTATTGGTCCAAGACTTTTCTAAACCTGAGCTGACGGAGTGCTCAGACAAAATCTTCGCAAAATAGGGAATGGAGAACCCCAAGCAGTATTTTTTTCTTGTTATTATTGTTATTATTTTTTTTACAGAAGATAACACTAAAAACATTCACATCTTCCAGTGAACATAGACTAGTCTTCTGTTTTTAAATGACAGGTCTTTAGATGTCTGCAGGAATGCTGTTACCTGGCTAATTTGATACACAAATGGTAAAAATGAGTTAGCTGAAGTGGAAGAACAATTGCCAATGTTGGTTTTGAGCTTTACATACAATGTGGCCTCTTCACTCAGATTCAGATCTTTTGTGCATAGCCTGGTATCTGCAGATGTATGTAGAGCAAGATTCTTGGTTACTTCACACATACAAAGATCAGGGGTCATACTCATCTATTCGCTTTCTGTCATGACCTATTCACTTCCTGTCATGATGTCCCTGATGTTACAATCAAAAGATTAAATGCATTGTTTCTTGCTTCTTTATTTCCATCTCTGAATGACTGGTGGTTTAATCATTTTGTATTTAACAAAAGTCATTATCTTCGAATGAATTTTCATGCATGCTTGACAGTAAGGGGGACAGTTTCAATCATGTTTATGCTAACATAGTGATCACTTATACATTTCAAACTTTTTGTGAACTGCAAATACAGTTGTCCCAAGCTGAGCAGAGGATGAACAAGTTGGATCAGTGCTACTGTGAAAGGACCTGCACAATAAAAGGCATGACATACAGAGAGTTTGAATCCTGGACAGACGGTTGTAAGAACTGCACTTGCATGGTATGGCTACAGTTTGAATGGAGACCCAGGAACTTTGATGTTTCCTCTGATTGTGGGTTTATTGGGCCAAAATAGTAAGGGGTGTTTATAAATGTGTGCTAAGTAGTAGCAACAAAATGTGAGAAAAATATATTGTTCTAAATTTAGGGGATAGTATTAATAAATGTATTTTCCTATTGTTGCAGCAGTGGTGGCATGTGTAGCTCTCCTGGATTTCATGCCAGTATAGGCAGATCCTATGCAATACACTTAGTTATCACATTATTCCCCTGCACTGAGTTGCAAACAGTTTCTCTGGATAATTAATTACCTGTTTTTATCACTATAAACACAGCCTTTTTCTTAGCAAATGATTTAATAGATCCCTTGTGTCTGATTCCCTTTAGTTGCCTTTGGTTACATCTCCAAAAGCAATAAAGATTAAAATGTCAGGGTCATATGCATGCTCTATTATATCACAAACAAGAAAAGAATTTAAATGGATAGAAGATTCCCAAAGGTATCAGAACTCCAAAACTGAATGCAAGTATCCTTTCAAGCACCAAATCATAGCATCTTTATTATTGTCCAGTCATTTAAAACTCATTAATTCCATTTGGACTCATTAAATGCCTAGTCCAAAGGCCATTAGTAATTGATGGAAAGGCTGTTGTCTGTACTGCACCTTAGATTGATTTGCTGCTGTCTCTAATTTCCTAAATGGTTCTACTTAAGCTTAATATGACTTTGATCTTTATATTTTTGCAGTGATATTAATTTTGTTTTTAAGATTTTGTGGTTGAAGAAAAGAAAGTTTAGTCCATACTATCAGACCTGGCTGATAGCTGTCTAAAATGCTTTGAATTTAGTGTTACATGCATTACATATTTTTGTCTCAGTTTTTTCTTGCTGCTACAGTATTATTACCTTTTAGAAATGTATTGTCTCTCATATAAAAATCAGAAGGTAGAGTATTCTGTGAGGTTCTTATTTCACACTATTATGTCAATTTGCTGCTGATTGGCAGAATGTTTTACCTCCAAATAGATTTGCCTCTAAAAAAAGTCTTTGATCATTGACATCTGAAAGAATACATCATACATGTCTGAAAGGTTGTATGCACGATAATCTGAAGGTATAGTTTCTGTTCCTGTAGTTATTAAAAGAACCATGCTAAAATGGCTTTTTGGGTACTGTCAGAGAGTTCATTGCATTTAAAAATAAATTTTAAGTTCTTGTGTATGAGAACATCTCTGTTCTTGCTAAATATAACTACCAGTTAAGCACCTTTTATTCTTCTAGAATGGTACTGTGCAGTGTGAAGCTTTGATTTGCCCTCTCTCTGATTGCCCGATTAATTCTGCCCTGACATATGTGGATGGCAAGTGCTGCAAAGAATGTCAATGTAAGTTTTACTCTGGGGCTTCCTTTAATGAATATTATGAAATCTGGAAAGAAAATGAACTTTTCTGTAAACACGTCATTGAAATAACTGGTCAGGGAATGAAGTATTTGGGTAGAGGAATGGAATAGGGGAATTTAGTCTTCCCTGAAATATTTCTGATAACCAGAAATTTTTCATTCTTCAGTTGTGACTATTTTATTTTAGTTATGCCTTTTTTTTTTTTTTTTATTCTGAACACACAGATATTTCTTATCAGTGTTTTTTAAAAAAATCTTAAAACTTTCTGCAGACTTCCTATAGGTTGTCTTTTATACCAAACTGCTAGAAATTTGAGAATTGCCTCATATTTGCTTAGACCAGTGTTTCTAACACAATCTCAAGACTATACTTTCAACCATATGTTGTAGTACCAGAAATGGAGATTCAGATTTACGATTCTTGTTCTTTAATTAAGAAAGAGAAAACTTGCACTAGACTCCAGAGACCAGAAAAAAACGGTCCCCTAGCAAGGTTCTTTTACAAAAGGTCAGACAATTATAGAGGAAATGGGATACAGGTAATTTAATATTGTTATTTAATACAGGTGATTAGCTTTTGGTTTTATAACATTTTGGCTTTGTTGCAAATAGGGTTAAAGAAGGGGAATTTTAGGTTAATCAGTATCTAGATGGATTGTTTATAATATTTCATATTGATTATGGATGTGTAAATATGTGATGGCTGTGGTGGAATCTATTCTTGAAACTGAGCAGAAGATGCATACATTTCTTTATTATATAAATGTTGAGATGTTTCCATATAGTTTCATCACTCTTCTGCTGTATAAAACTTCTTAGAGAGTATAGAGATACATGTAACTGCTTGAAATGCCATGTTTTATCATAAAATTCAGGAAGATGTTTTGTAATCCACTGATCTTGCTCCCACAGGAGTTTATTAATATTTAATTGTGTTAGAAGTTACACAAACCATCCCATTTTATGAAACCTTATTAACTTACTCAAGTAGATTAATTCTAATTGAGGGGAAATGAGAATTCAAATACTTTTTTTTTTTTTTTTTAATTTATTTTTAGTCAACTACACAACATTTCCATGCATATTACTTGGCTCAGGGAATTGGTAATTCAAGGATGATAGATGAGTGGAGTTCAAACCTCTATTTGAATCTTTGACCACGCTGGTATTGCCTGTTTGATGTTCTTAATGTTATCAAAGCTTTTTAGCTTCCAATACTGTTCATCTGATGCCAGTACCTAATTGATAATGAACATGCAACATATAACTCTTGACAAGCTACAAAAAAAAAAAAAAGACAAACTTGTTTTGAAAACTTGTCTGTTTTGTCTGTTTGAATCTATTTCAAAACTATTTTCACCTAGTTTATTTAAAGTGCCCTAAAAACAAACAAACCCCAAAACAACCAAAAACCAAAACAAATTAATCAACAAACAAACAAACAGAATGAAATCAAAAACCCACAATATTTTAAGTGGACAGTTGCTGGGAACCAAAATACTGAGGGTGTAAACTGGAGTCCCATTGACAAGATAGCTATATTCCATTGAAAGTGTAAAGAGTGGAAGTTAGATGCAGTGGTGGCTGTAGGACCCTCATTTATTCTCCAGGCTGGTTTGGTGGAAATGTAAAGTACTCACTGAGTTAGAGGTTTTCCAGCCATATCCTGCCCTCTTGGTGTCTTCAGCTCAAATTCTGAGCAGATCATGGTCAGTATGCTCCGTGACTACAACTCTCGCTCAAGGGATCAAAGTTGAGTTCCTCCATTTAGATAACTTCTGAAAATAATGTTTTTGTTCTCTTGTTCTCAGTTCTTAGAACTGTATCAGGGGATGTAGCATCTGTCTAGGTGATGGCATCTAACCAAACACAGATGTCTTATAATTGGGAGAGCAGCTAATTAGGGTTTGTTACTCAAGGAGCCACTGTCCTTACTACTGGACAATCAATCATAAATGCTGAGAAAAATTGAGGCCCATACCCATTTCTTACACCGAGTTTTAGTATTTATTTATTTATTTATTTTTGTGAGACGCAACATATATGGCTATTTCTTCCTGCTATTTGTGGTACCTCACACCAGATGATGGAGTGTTTCTGTCAGCCTCTTGGGAGGGTAAAACTGTCCAGGCAGTGGTAGCTGTGGCAGCCTTGGTGTTGTGTCTCAGGGCTGAGTTCTCACCATCCTTCTTTATTTCTTCTGCTTGCGTGATTACAAAGCCAGAAAAAATGAAAAGAGCACGGTTTGATGTAATGACAGCTGGCATAAAGAGTAAAAATATACAGTGCTTAAGACATTCAGAGTGACGAGCAGGCAGGCTTCACAGCTTTTATGTTTTGTTTTGAGGAATTCAGAATGGATTAATTCAACATGTCTTTAGACACATAGAATTTGGTATTCCAGTCTGAAGTGGCTTTACATATGTTACTACATGAAATAGGGCACAGTCCTGTGGTCCTGGGGTTAGGTGCCATTTGTGGCTCACAAAATACATGGCCAAGCTCTCTTGCCCCTCCCCTAAAACAGTGTCTGCCTCCAGATGGCTGACTGGGAATGATTCCTCATCAATCCTGTCCCCCAAACCGTGTCTGGCATTGCATCAAAGATTGCTGGCTGGTACAGGCCAAGGGGCTGCCATGAGTTGTGCTAACACTCAAACTGTGTGGAGGATTATGCACCAGTGTTTGAGCCTGTTGGCACTTACTATTTCATTTACCTCTCATGTTTCATTTACTAGTATGGACATCATCATCTGTTAGGCTCTCTCAATAGCCAGTGAAAGGGACTGGCATATCCAGAGGGTGCTTGGTGCTTAGAGGTGGCAGGAATAGATAAGATGAATTGCCTTGTGGAGGTGCATGTTTCTTCCCACAGGAGGCCTTATACATAGGGAGGCCAGGCAATTAGATTAGATACCAAACTTGCAGGTAGCTAGAACTGTGAGATTAATCCTTCCATCAGTTACTGCAATGAGTATCAGCTGTGTCACATAGGAATGGAAAGTGCTGAATTTTTAAGCCTGGAGCTGACATTAAGCAGTTATGCTAAGAGACTGGTGAGAGCAAGTCACACTGCCAAGCACTAGGAAATGAATTTCAGCCCAGCTCAGCATTTAAGAACTGGGCAGTGCAGCGATGTTGTGCCTTGTTTGATGATATTTTCAACACTTCAAGAATTTCAGCACAACTGACCGCATTTTTTTTCTTAAATATTTAGTTCAGGGAAGAACAGGTATTATGGAATGTGGTAGAAAAATAATTATAGCTTTGACTTTGATTCTTCTTGTATGCTAAAACATAATAAAACCAGACATGCACCTTCTGACCAAACTGCATATCTTTGCTTGAGAACACTCAAATAACTTGTTCTGGGTTGTTAGACATTGGAACAGGCTGCCCAGGGAAGTGGTGGAGTCACCATCCATGGAAGTCTTATAGAAGATGTTTAGATGTAGAGCTTAGGGATATGGTTTAGTGGGGGCTGTTAGTGTTAGGTCAGAGGTTGGACTCGATGATCTTGAGGTCTCTTCCAACCTAGAAATTCTGTGATTCTGTGATTCTGTGAAGGTCAATGCTGATATCAATAGGGATGACAGCGCATATGAGTTATCACTGTATTTTCTGTTGTCCTTAATGGGCTAAAAGCAGCTACAATCTTCCCAGGCACATGAATTGGCCAATGTGCTGGGTGTATGTTTCAGCTACAGACAAGCTATTCAACACAGAATTTGGTCAACCTACTGAAGTATGCCTCTTAGATCAGTGGGAGCTTCCTATGGAGAAGTGTTTGGAGCTGGAAAGCAGAGGCTACTTTCTTTTCTATTCCAAGTGCAATTTTAAGCCCATCTGAGAAGGTATGCGCAAGAGATCTTTATATCCGTTTTTATTTATTTATTTATTTATTTATTACTCTGCAGAGAAAAACACATTGTGTGGTGATAGGCACTGATACAAAACAGGGAGAAACTAAGCTCCCCTACTGACTCTGTGAAGTATCGTCCATGGACTTGGCTTAAAATGTACAAGGACAAGTTCATTTATTTTAAGTGAATCATGAAAGGACTGACAATGTCTTAGTAGCTGAGACAATTGGTACTTGGTCAGCAAATCTTTTTTTTGGTAACTTTCCTATTAGTTAGTGTATTAACACTAAGGCATCACTTCCAATAACTGTTATATATGTATTTTTTTTTTAATGAAGCGAGTGTATTTTTAACAAACTAGCTGACTTTCTTCTTCTTAAGCCCAGAAGTGATTTTTGTACCACTGTCTGGCACAGTAATAATTTCTATCACCAAAGACTGATCTCCAGGAAGAAAATAGGTCTATTCTTATCACTGTCCTTCTCATGACATTGCAGACACAGATCTAATCCCAAACTATTTAAATCTATTGCAACAGGTTTTAGTGGGGGCTAAAGTCTAAGCCATTATATTAAATCTACAGGCTGTGACTTTCCATGTGCTTGTTTTTTTCTGAAGCAGGACATTTGATGTGTTTGGTGCATTGTAGCAAATTCTGCACCCTAGCACAAGTGTTTTAAGCAGATGTAAGAAGCATAGAACTGTGTCGGATCAGCTGCCACTTCTGTTGCTAGCAAGCATGGAAAGAGCATATATCAGGAGGTTATTGTGACTCAGAAACGGGTTTTGAATAAAATGATTAAAATACAAATATGCAAATGTTTTCTTTTATAAAATGAATGGGTTTCTGATGCATTGATCTATTTTGCTAGCTTACAGAAACTTTTAATTTTATAGTCACAATTAAGGGGATTTCCCCTTTTTTCTCTTCATGATGCTTTGATTTTTTTCTGCAAAGCTATACACTGTTTTTGCAAGCTCCAGCATGCCTGGCTTACTAACACAGAGAAGGAACTGTAGAATTCCATCTGGTTCTCATATGCAGAGCAATTGACCGTCAGCAATGGTGCAAAATTTGTACCTAGAAAATTAAGGAATGTTGATTAAGCTTCTTCGCAAA